TTACAGATTAAGGGGCGGTAATATTATAATGAGTTCCCTTTGCCATGTCACCAAGGGAACGAAAATCATACATGCTCGTTTTCTCAGATGCTTGCAGAAAAAGGCTTACCAAAACAAAGTTACTGGGTTAATCTTTTTCACGTAGATGCACCGGGGACCTGATTATAGCACTTAAAACCTGGAAAAGTCAGATTTTCATGATATGTCACCTTTAACTACCTGTTTTGCAATGCGGAAGTAAAGTATTTTCTTGATTTATGTGCCAGACTTATGATCAAGTAAACAGAAGAAACGGAAAAACTATTTGCACCACAAACCTGTGTTTGTGATTATGATAATACATGAAAATAATATGATAAAAAATATCAGTTTGCAACATTTAGACCACGTCCCAAACAGATCTGGGCGGGGCATCTGTGTGCTGACGCGACGCGACGCGAATCGCGATCCGTGGGATTAACGCGACATGACCTGTATAGACAATAAGACTTGAGAAAATTTGGCATATACTGTACCTGATATGTATCCAAAATAATCTATATTGAATCTAATCGAATTGGTAATCGAATCAAAAGCTTGTGAATGAGAATCGGATCGAATCGTGAAATTTGTTTCAAAACCCAGCCCTACTATTTTGAGTGGAAATAAATCAATAAATCCACTGCTCTCTTGTCTCCTCTGAGGCTGGGACTCTAAATAGTGTTCTGTGCTCGTCTGTGCAGCCAAAGGCAGAACAGTTAGCATGTTTTGCTCAAACTTTCGCCATGGCATTAGAACTGGTACACTGCTGTCGCTTGCGAAATCAAAATGATGGTGCCTTGAGTGGAAATTTACAGATTAAGGGGCGGTAATATTATAATGAGTTCCCTTTGCCATGTCACCAAGGGAACGAAAATCATACATGCTCGTTTTCTCAGATGCTTGCAGAAAAATTCATACCAAAACAAAGTTACTGGGTTAATCTTTTTCACGTAGATGCACCGGGGACCTGATTATAGCACTTAAAACCTGGAAAAGTCAGATTTTCATGATATGTCACCTTTAACTACCTGTTTTGCAATGCGGAAGTAAAGTATTTTCTTGATTTATGTGCCAGACTTATGATCAAGTAAACAGAAGAAACGGAAAAACTATTTGCACCACAAACCTGTGTTTGTGATTATGATAATACATGAAAATAATATGATAAAAAATATCAGTTTGCAACATTTAGACCACGTCCCAAACAGATCTGGGCGGGGCATCTGTGTGCTGACGCGACGCGAATCGCGATCCGTGGGATTAACGCGACATGACCTGTATAGACAATAAGATGAACTTGGTAGTGAAAAGGATGTCGACTGTGTTTCTTATCTAAGACCCAAGCAGCTGTAAGTTTGTTTCAGCATTATAAAACCATCTCCATCTCTCACATCTGAAAAGAAAAAAAATGTGATGCTGAGACTGCAAAAATGGTCAAGGCCTGGGAAACACATTTGTTGAAATTCTACACTGATGGTTACAAGTTTCAGTCTCTTCCTGACATATCAAGAGTGACATTCACTACAGTTCAAAAGGGGTCACTAAATAGTTTGTATGTTTATTTAAAGAAATTTATACTTTTATTCAGGAAGAAGGCATTAAATTGATCAAAAGTGACAGTAAAGACATTTCTAATGTTATATTTCTATTTCAAGTAAATGCTGTTCTTTTGCTCTTTTTATTTATCAAAGAATCCTGAAAGAAAGTATCACCGTTTCCCCCCCCCCCCAAAAAATGTA